TCCGAGAAGGCGAAGGAGATGGAGGCGATAAATGGGATCGTTTCCGGAAAGAACGTGCTCATCACCGGTGGGGCTGCAGGCTTGGGATACGCGTTTTTAAATCATTTCTTGAAACACGGTGCAAGTGTAAGCGTCCCTCGAATCAACTCGAAAAATTTCAACAAACTGAAACAGATATTTAGATTGCTGGAATCGTGATTTTTCAGAAAGTAACCATACTCGACATCGACGCAGAAACCGGAAAACGAGTAGAACATAACTTGGAGAAGTCTTACGGAGAGAAAAAGGTGCGCTTTATTCACGTGGACGTGTCGAATTACAAGGAAATGGTTGGTAAGCATCGAACACGATATATCCAAAAATTAATTAACGATCATAGATAACACACGTTGATAAGAATTTTTCGAAATTTTTGAAACACACAGCTGGAGACCTTTCTGTTGTGTAATTAATAATGATCGGACCTTGATCTAACAATATAAATATTTTGGTTGGTTGGAAAAATTCGACGATTATTTGCAACATTTGTTAATCATTTTATTTCTATTCGTTTGCCGGGTTTCAGCGGCTTTCGAAGAAGCCTCAAAGTGGATGAACGACATAGATATCGTGGTGAACAACGCTGGTATTTTGGACGAACGACGTTGGGAAAGAGAGATAGCAGTGAATATCGTGAGTGATGAATAAAACTCTTTTATTTTATATTTAAGTATATATTCTTTCGTCTGGTTAAAAAAGTGATTGATATGTTAGGGAGGAATGATTTGTACCGCATTACTGGCTGTGAAACACTTGAGCAGAGACCAACTTGGACACGGTGGCACTTTGGTGAACGTCAGTCAATACATAGACATCAGAAGCACAGCTCAGCTTCCGGTTTACACGGCTACGAAACACGCCATCATCGGTCTCTCGCAATCTCTCGCGGTAAGAACTTGGTATTACAAATTATTTTACCCATTTTCTGAACATTAAGTAATCGTAAACATATTAAACTATAATTACCAATAATACTAAGTACTGCAGAAGATTTACGTTTAAATGAGTAAGAATTCTACTTATTTTGAAATATTTTCTAGTTTAAAACATTTTTTAAAATAATACCTTCTTGTTATATTATAATCTGACTATTGAAATGATTAATACTGAACTGATAATTTGTCATAGAAAATATTGAAATAGATTCTTTATCTAAAATTACTCATCTTTCTCGAATAAATTTCTCGAATAATTACTCAATTATTTCTCAATCTAATTTCAAATAAAATTCTTTCGTTGTTAATTTAATTAGATCTTCCATCTCTCAGCTATTACAATGACCTTCTAAAACGCACAATTGAGTATGAAGAATCTAATTTAATAAAAAAGAAAATTTCCATTTCTCTAACAGAATACTAATCAGCATGAAAAAGTCGGTGTTCGTGTAATAACACTGTGTCCTGGCCTAACGGAAACCGCACTCACAGTGGACAGCCCGAACAAATTACTCTCCCGTGTTATGAAGGCAGATTTCGTGAAAAATCTGGAGCAGTTATCGATACAAACGTGAGTCTCGTTCTTTCCAATGAAAATATCAATTTAACAAACTGAAGTTGATAAAAATCAGATATTCATACTTGACAACGCTTCCTTGATGTAAAATCAATTTTGTAACATGCTTCTTTGTCATTCGTTCACTGTAGCCCGTACGTGGTGGCTCAAGGTTTGATGTCGATACTAAGGTATGGAGAATCTGGCAGCATATGGGTTGTTGAAAATGGTCGAACTCCGTACGAGGTCTACGTACCAAATCCACGTACTTTGCGGCGCACTTACAAGAATAATTTCACACTAGTTGAAACGAAAGTGATAACAAGAGGTCGGCCAATACGAGAGGTTTGCGACAACACGCGAACAGGTCTGATGAGTTGCGTTTGACGATCGTATGAATGGACGTCTGTCTTCGACTATGATGATCTTCCGCGTTCTCGAAGAAATCTCTAAGGATTGAGATCGCTTTTGATCAGTTGTGTCGTTTCGTTTTGAAAAATCCATTCCCGTAGGCGCACATGCGGGAATCACGAATGAAAAACTGTCGAGATGCGATGAAAATGATGAAACTCGGATCTTCTTTGAACACCTGCAAGTAATTGAAAAAGAAGAGAGGATTAAGTTGGACATTGCTTGATAATCTTAGTCATTGATACAATGTTAAGTATTTATACAGATAATGCACGCGTATACACATCGTGTTTTGTACATAAATCTATGACATCACATTTAAAAGACACTTAAACGATTAAATTGTTCGACAATAATGATATAGCCTTTTTTTCTCATATGATCGACTCTCTTTTTTTTATTTCTTAAACCTCTTGTTTCAGTACTGTCAAATTTACAAATGGTTTTTTTTTTTCTTTTCATTTTTTATCTTCTCAGAAGGAACAATTCGTTCATCTCATATGAAAAAACGCAACAATTAATTGACAAATACTTCGCGAACAAGTGTCTCTCTAGAAGTAATTTGGTGGGCTTAAAGAGTACAACAAACGTTATTTTATTACTTCAGTATTATTCAGCATTGGGAATCACAATATCCGCTGTACAAAACAAAAATTCATTATCGGAAAACCGCATACACCGTGCATTTCTTTACACGCGCTATGCATTAAACTTAAAAGTTATATTTCTTCATTCCCCCATATTCCTTCCTATTTTTACTTATCTTTATTCATATATGCGTTATACTTTTTTTTTTTTTTTTTTTTTTTTTTTTTTTTTTTTTTTTTTTTTTCACCTTACTGATAGCTTATGGATGTTTTCGACTTATACGTAACTAAATCTCATGTTATGTATGTATATATCTGTATACGCTTGGGACTCCATGTGAGCCATAAGAAAATAACAGTCGCAAATAATATACCTATTCTGCCTTTCTTCTTTTTTTGCGTCTTATATTTTTAAGGACATTATCATGCTTTTAGAGTCTTACTCTCGCAATGCTACCTACCATAGGGGCGCAGCGTCCTCGTACATCAAACGATTTCTTCGAAACTCGAAGCTGTTAAACGCAGTCGAACTACAAGAAGGCATTCTCTCTTCCATTTTCTCTTTCACTAGCATATCCCACGTTCAATGTTTCAAACACTAATAGTCAACACAATCGATGTACGATTCGGCTTCACACGCGCGCGTATCTCTATGAATCATACAAAATCAATCTTCTTTTTTTTTTCTTTTTTCTGTTTTCTCCTTATTTCCTTATATGAGGAACAATTCAACGTTCCTGTTCGAAAATCAAAACCCCCTGGTAAATACGTGAATAAAATAATTATTTCACCTTAGCTCGCATATACCGTCATCATCTTAAATAAATAAAGTTTTGACTGTTCGAAATAACCACAATATATCGTCCTACTCTATTCTGCGATTGTACGCATGTTTCACTTTTCCCTTCGAAATTTCTTTTTGTTCCATTTTACCCGCAAAAAGTTCAAAATCAACGGTTAGTGTTTCATGCGTTTCAACAGAACCACAGACACACATGCAACGCGAAAAATTAATTAGTCATTTTTTATTTTCTCACCATTCTTTTTTGAAATCGTATCGTGCCTATTCTTTTACTTTACGTTAGAAAAATTTCCTTGAGATTCTTATTGTTCTCTTAATCATAGTTGCATGCTTGTCGAATTAATAATGATCAAAAAAAAGAAAATGTAACTGAAAATTTAAAACTTGTTGCTTTACATACGTTTGTTTGTAAACATTCTACCGTCCGGCGTGTATTGTACTTAATTACATTCATAAGCATTCTCGACGATTCCTTATTTTGTAGGACGTGATGGCTTTGAATATCGAGTTTTTGAAAATTAACTACTTATAACAATAAGATTCATATTTATCCAGAAATTCTAAACGCAGAACTTGCAAAGCATCGGTTAATTTCCTACGTTCCTGCGTGACAATACAAAAAACCCATGATAAAGTTCTCTCAAAGAACTTTTCATATTTTTCCTTATTTTCTGTTTTCTTTTGTTTCTTTTAAATCATTGAATCCTTCTTAAACTCGAATTCAAATCAGTCCATAAGGGCAGAGCACGTATTGTAAAAATCTTAATCTAACGTGAATACTTATATATATATATATAGTAATGCGTTGTTCATTCAAAAAGATACAACGCGACTATTCTGCTGCGATTGAGTAGCGGATTGTTCGTTGGTCGCGCGATTTTGAGGATTGTTCTGTTGTTGCTGGTTAGTGGGTTTACGATTTCCGCCTCTGGAACCTCTATAACCACCTCGGAAACCAGAACCACCGGCACCACCGCCACCTCGATACATGCCTCCCATTCCACGATTATAATAACCGCGACCGCGAAAACCACCGCGCCTCGTTGACGCTACACCAAATGTTTCAGAGTTCAGTTTGCGCTCCGTCCTCCAGTCCGTACGTTGGAACCGTCTGCAAAACGTTATAAACATAGCTTTTTATACGTATTCTAATCACGAACCTTATTATTTAAATTATAAATTTATCAACTTACCCTTTACTTCTCTCAACAGCTTCACAACTAATATTATCAAAGAAAGATTTTGACTTGTCATAATGAACTATCTCAGATTCTTCCTCGGGTTCACCTTCACCCGCGCCAGTTTCATTACCACTGTCATCTTTCTTTTCATTATCAGCACCAGAATCAATTTTCGTTTTTGCTAACTGAGATCTAAAAAACATAATATAAAAAATTCGTTACAATCTATCTTCAAATACTTAAGTACATGAGTTAGGTCGTATATAAAACATATGTCGGTGCGTTGCGTAAGCAAAATATAATACGATTATATACTGCTTTAAAAACGCATAACGTTGATTTTGCATGGTGTCCACGTTGGTCATTTCAAACGTACATGAAATGAATCCGGCACGAACCATGCTACTATTTTCCTACAAAAGAGAAAAAAAAAAAACAAGCACACACCTCAGTTCCTCAAATTCAGTATTAGCTTGTTCGAAATCATAGTCATTATCGAATTTCAACGTATTCTTGGGTTTGGCTCCAGTATGACCAGGTTGATTTCTAAAACCACCGCGACCTCTTCCTCTACCTCGCATATTTCCACGATTCATCCATCCACCCCGATTCCCTCGACCACCTTGACCATGAGTACCTTGACCTTGTAACTGACCATCTTGCTTCACAGAATCACGTTTTCCTTCGTTATATTGGGACACCGTGCCACCTGCCTTATTGCCGCTATGGCTGAAAGAATACAAAAAGAAAAAAAATATATATATATATACACACATATACATGCCCTTAATATTTACTTAAGTGGTTATAATTAAAAAAAATAAATATTCTGTTAATTACTACCTATCGTGATCACGTCGAGCAGGCTGAATAGTTCTCATATTTGTCTTTTCGCCAAGTTTACCAACGTTTCCACTCTGCTGTTGTTGTTGCTGCTGCTGCTGCTGTTGTTGTTGATGGCCTACTTGAATACCCTGATCCATAGTTGGACTTTTGCGTGTCAATAGAGATGAAGTTGGAGTTGTTGATCGTGAACCTCCGCTAATAAGATCTAATACACCTGTGAAAATAAGGTAAAGAAACGCGCATAATATTGTGAATAGCAATTTCATTATTCAATGTTTGAACACTTATTTAAATATTTATTGTAATGTATAAAATATTTAGGAAATACTTCGTATTGTATTTTCAATTCTAGCTTTAAATGATGTATGATTACAAAAGTTCTACACTGAATATACATTGCATAAAAAACTAATCTCAGAAAACGATTTCTACATGAAATTTCAACTGTTCTTGCTATTATGTTACTTGCTAGTGCATCGTGCTTCCAATACTATTTAAATGAAATTTAAATGCATATTTAGAGTAAAATTATAAATTATAAATGCAGTAAAGAAATTTTCATGCGCAAACTTTGGTAAAATAAAAAAATTATTGAAAACAATGAGCATAAATATATCATATAAACTACATATAACTTAATAACTTAAACCAATCATTCCACACACTGAAACTGTTATACCATTATATGATTATTGTAAAATATATTTCATTGCAATTCTGAGTATTACACTCATTTTAACTCAAACAATTATCACATTGCATAATACAGTAAACTGTGAAGCATTATGAAATTATCTGTAATTGCTAATTCAAACGAATTTGAAAATAAATAACATGTATGAACTACTAATGTAAAATAAAAAATCTTAATATAAAAGCATAACTGTTACAATATCATGAAAGCAAATTATATTAAGGCAACAAAAATGTTTGATTACTAAAATATTTAGTAAGAATGTGTTACATACATATTTTTAAATATTTATAAAGTTGTAGTAAATGCAAATTCAAAAGTGCTCAAAGCATTCAATACTTGCCTATGCAAATCATAATGCAAAATTTTTATGCAAACCAAATAAGCTACAGCAAACATATAGTTCATACCATAAACAAAAGTTTATAAGCAGTTAGAAGAAAAAAAAAGGTGAAAACAAACCTTTTTAAATATTTTGTCAGTGCAAAATATATAGTTTGGAATTAATAAGAATAATGAGGAGGAAGTTAATAAGAAGGAATTTTAATTTTACAAGTGAAGTTAGCAAGCATTACCAAAGAAGCAGCAAGCATGCCATTGGCAAGAGATAGTTCATAGCAAAAACAGTTTACCATCTTCCAGAGATTGGTCTTTTGGTAATGGGTCGACATTGGCCGTCGGTAGTGAGTTTGGGATAGTGATGG